GGTCCCTGCATCCCGGATCCTGCTGGGCGGCCACCTGACTCCCTCCCGCACCGGGCGGGGAAAGGGGGGAAAGCCATGTGGACAGCCATGTGGCAGTGATTGGAGCACCAGCTGATGACTTCAGGGCTTTCCCCCGGTGTGAGTAAGAAGGGGCCGGGAGAGGTTTCCGGGTAGCGGGCGGACACCCTCTTGAAACGCTGGGTTTGAATTCCCCGGTGCCAGCAGCGTGTTCCCACGGGAACTGATGAGAAGGTGAACACGAGGTTTGTGATAGCAGGGACCTCCCAGGAATGGCCTGGGAGGTGTCAGCGAAGAAAATGACCAGGGTCCAGTCACAGACGCCACCCCTGAGGAGATGCATGGGCGGGCTGGCTCCCGCAGGGGCAGGGGCAAGGCCGGCTGCGGCCACGCCCACCGCCAAGCCACTGTTTGGTTCCCGGGGCCGGTCAGCATCCTGGGCGTGAGGCCGTGGTTCCATCCCGCCCAGGCCATTGAGCCCCCTGCCCCGCCCCCCAGACGCCGCCAGGCCCCAAAGCTTTGTGCGCATGCATCCCCCAGGCCCGCAGCCTCTGCTAGGTGCTGGCCTCCAGCGGTGGGCGCCAGAGCTCCACCTGCCGGCCACTTGTGGGAGCCGCGTGGTCGCCCCTCCAGCTCCTTCGTCCGTGGCTGCCGCCTTTCGGTCCATTGGTCCCCATGGAGAGCGATCCCCCGTACCACTAAAAAAATGGAGAGCGAGGCGGGGTCCGGGGAAGGCGGGGCATTCTTGCGAATGGTACTGGGCCTTGGGCTGGGGCTCGTGAGGCACTAGCTGAGGAGGAAGACGGATCCCACCAGGACAGGGGACACCCTCAACACCGCCTTGGCTATCCTTGGCATTATGCGCTTTCACGAATCCCTAATGTGTGTGTGTTTGTTTGTGTTTGTGTGTGTGCGTGCGTGCGTGTGTGTGTGCTGGCGCGTGCGGCCCCTGAGCATGCCTCTGTGCCGGGGATCATGTGTGTTTGTGTGGTGTTGTGAGTTTGCATGTGCACGTGTTTGTGTGGCAATTGTGCATGCCTCTGGCCCGAAGACCATGTGTCTTGGTGTGTGTATCGGGAGGGTGTGTTTGCAGGTGCACGGGTGTTGTGTTTGCGAGGCCACCTGTGTGTGCCACTGCGTAGGGACCCTGAGTGTTTATGTGTTGCGTCTTTGCATGCCCACGTATGTGTTGGTGTGTGTGGCCAAGTGTGCACGCTTGTGTGCCACAGACCTTGTGAGTTGGTGGGTGTGCCTGAGTGTGCGTTTGCACACGGATGGGCGTGTGAGTGTGGGAGTGTGCGTGCACGGCCAAGTGCATATACCGGTGTGCGGGCACCGTGTGTGTTTCTATTCCATGCGTGTGTATGTGTGTATTTGTGTGGCCATGTGTGTGTGCCTGTGTGCCGACGACAGTGTGTGCTTCCCAGTGTTGTGTGAGTGTGTGTTTGTGTGTGTTTCTTGTGCACGTCAGTGTGTGTTCCTGTCAACTGTGCATGGCTGTGCACTGGAGATCATATGTGTTGGGTGTGTGTTTCCTGAGTGTGTCTTTGCCCGCACATGGTGGTCTGTGTTTGTGCAGACAAGTGCGCGTGCCTGTGTGCGGGGACTGTGTGTGTGGTGTTTGGTGTTTGTGTTTCCCAGTGCACGTGAATGGGTGTGTGCATGTGAGCAGAAATCTGCATGGCTGTGTGTGCTAGTCCATGGGTGCATGGCGTGTGTGTTTCTGGGTGCACCTGGATATGTGACTTTCTGCGGAGCTTTATATGTATGGACGTGAGCCAGAGACCTTTCGTGTGAGTGTTGAGTGTATGTGTGCTTCCATGCGCAAGGGTGTCTGTTGTGTGTCTGTGTTTGCAGGCCTTTGGGTGTTTGTGTGTGTGAGTAGCAGGGGGGATGTGTGCACACATCTGTAGACACCCGCTCATGCCTCAGTTTTGGAGACTCTGTGCATGCTTGGTGGGTGTGTGTTGTCTTAGCACGTGCTTGTGTATTTGGGTGGTCATGGGTGCAAACGTGTGTGCCAAAAACGTGTGTCTGTGTGTGCGTTGCATGTATGTGTGTTAGTGTGAGCTCGTGTGTGTGTGCGTGTCTGTGGGTGCGGGGCCAGCGGTGTATGCCTGTGTACTGACGACCGTGTGTGTTCCTTGAGTGTCTGTGTGCGGTAGGGCCGTGTGTTTGTGTGTGTTTGTGTGTGTGTGTGTGTGTTTTTCCGAGGCCAATTGTGTATTCTTCTGTACTGGGGAAGGTTTGTGTATGTTGTGGGTGTGGGGCTATATGTGCAAAATTGTGTGTGTGGGTTGGGAAGGTCAGCGCATATGCCAGTGAGCCAGTGACTTTGTTTGAAGTGCGTGAGTGCGTGTTTGCGTGAGCACATGCGTGTGTGTGTTAGTGCAGAGCAGTGTTCATTCCTGGGTGATGCAGACTGTGTGTTTCTGTTCCCTGTGTTTATCCTGAGGGCAGGTGTGTGTGCGTGTGTTTCGGTGAGGAAAAGTTGTGTAGGCATATGTGCCTAAACACATGTGTATTTGTGGCGTGTGTGTGTGCGTGATTTCTAGGGCGGAGGGGGCGTGTGTGATAGTGCCATGTCACGCGTGTATGGCTGTGCCAGAGACCTTCTGTGAGTGTTGTGCATGTTTTCGTAAGCACAGCTGTGTGTTTGCACGGGCAAGTGTGCATGCCTGTGTGCAGGACGCATGTGTTTGTGTGTTATGTGTTTTGAGTGTGTGTGCATGCACACGTGTGCGTGTAAGTGGGTGTGTGCAGCCACAGGCATGCCTGTGGGCCGCAGATTGGGTGCATGTGTGTATGCACATGCACAACTATGGGAAAGAGAAAGAGAACGGAGCCTGTCTGCATGGGATTGTGTTTGCGTGCGTGTGTGCGGCCATCTTCTTCCCCGTGTGTCGAGCCAGGGTGTGTGGGTGTGTATCATGTGCATGTGTATGCATGAGCTCATGTGTGTGTTGCATGTCTCTGAGTGTTTGCAGTCACGTGTTATTGTGAGAGTGTGTGGCCACCGGCGCATGCCTGTGTGTGGAGACCATATGCGTGTGTGTCATGTGTCCACACATATGC